TGTGAATGTAGTAATCTTTCTATCATTTGCCTCTCAACCTATTAATTTGTTTCTGGGGAAAATGTATTTCTTGTATTCAACATATTTTTGGATTCTATTTCTTTATCCATTCTGCCAATCTATATCATTTAATTGGTTAATTGAGTCCATTTATATTGATGATTATAACTGTTATGTTTTGAATTTTATTTGTCATGTTACATTCCTGCTGTTGGTCCCCTACTTTTCCTGTCTTTAATTGTTTTCCATGTTTTGTGGGTTCCTTATGTTGTAATTCTTGGAGATGTAGTCATTTTGATCCATCTGTAGAATGACTTTTAGTACTTTGCTTAGGATTGGTTTGGTCATCATGAAATTTTTTATTTGTCCTTTGTCATGGAAATATTTTACTTCTCCATTAAACTTGAAAGAGAACTTTGCAGAATATATCTGTCTCGTTTGGATTTTTTTTTTGTTTTGTTTTTTTGGTCTTGGAATACTTCACTCCAGACTCTTTGTGACTTGGTGGTTTGTGTTCAGAAAACTGCTATTATTCTGATGAGTTTTTCTTTAAATGTAAATTTTTTATTTATGCCAGGGTCTGCAGGGTCTATAGGGTCTCAATACACAGATCAGACTCATACTGATTCTCCTGTTTTCAGCCTCCCAAGCACTGGGATTACAGGTATGCGCCACCATGCTCAGTCTCAATCACCGTCTAAGTGTGTTCTGGGGTGGAACAATCTTTTTTTTTCTCTAGCATCTTGTAGTATGCTATTCTTGTGCTGAGTTTCTGTGATTTTGATTATTATACTTCTGGCTGTCGTTTTAAATAGGTTGATATTATTTGCAGTTTTGTATGCCTCAGTTTTCTAAATGTGAGGTTGTTTCCAGACATATGTGAGGTTTTCTGCTATTAATTCTGCCCATATACTTTTTATGTCGCTTGTGTTGGCTCCTATCTCATAGATGCTTATAATTCATAAGTCATCTTTGTATCTTCTTGCAAGTCTTGAATTATTAATTTTGGGGTCATTATTGTTTTTAAGACATATTTGTTTACCTATACACTAGCTGCAACTGTATCTTCATGGTCTGTCCTTTTTACTAATTTTTTGAGAAACAGATAGCAATTAGACAATTTCAAAACTGATTAGTAGGACAGTTTCAAAAATTAATACATTTCACATTGTTGTCTTTGTAGTGGCCATTCATAGCACAAGATGCAGACATGATATCCTGTCCAAACACTGATAGCACAAATCTTTCTTCTCATTGACTTAAGAGAAAGTAGCTGTATATCATTCCAAACTGCTTTGTATATATAGATATAAAATAGTCCTTCATTTGTATCCCCTTCTTTTGTTTAGTTTTCTCAGAGATGAGTATTCTATTGCCATTTAAATATTGTAGGTGTGTGAATTCAGCTAAATAATCCAATATAATCCAGTAGTCCATCATAATAGGGGGTTATCTGTAGGACTGGCAATGTCAGAAGTTGTTGATTTGAGCTTTTTACAGCTCAGCATATTAATATGGCTTTAATTTTTTTACCTCCTTTTTATACTTTTCTGCTAGATGGTCAACACCAAGATAAAGCAAGATCTATGCAACAAAAATGTAACTTTTGTATCTGATAAGGTCAGTCAAATCCCCTCAGGATTTATCCTGAGATCCTGTACCTCAGATTGTAGATCCTTTGTCAGGGTCAGCCAAGTGGATGAGTCATGGCCATTGCTTGACCATTTTTGCTCTCTGTGAAAGCCTGAGAGAATGTTTTCTCTCCTTGTGACTTTCCTTAGGCACACTATGCATCATTGATCACTTTCTTCTGTGGTCCCACAATCTCCTTGATCAGAAAATTCGGGACACAACTGAGATACAGGATGTTACAGTACAATTTTACTTATGTTTCATTGTCTGAATGTCTATTTTCACTTTCATTCAAACGGTTTTGCTAACTTGTGATAGAGTTTTGAATTTCATGCATATTTCTTTGAATTTGCTTCATGCATTATATTTATTTTCTATATTGATCATTCAAGGTTTCAAGCATGTTTGTATTCTCTCTTTTTTAAATCAGTGTCTTCTTTAGAAATACTTAGCATTATTTTTCATTACAGTTATCATTCTTTATATACATGGGAGATTATTTTTGATTTAATTTCCTCTATAACCTTCTGAAGATTTTTATTTACTTAAGTTTTTACTATTTCCAAAATTTCAGCTGTGCAACCATGAACTTCTTCTATGCTGATGTCTCCTGGATTTGTGACAGCTGGGCTAGGAGCCTCACACTATTTGGTCCTTCATTTTTTTTTTAATTTTGTATTTCAGAAATGATTCTTTGTTTTGTTTCCTGTGATATATTTTTGGGAAAGTTTTGTATTAGATAGTTGTGTCACTGCTTTTAAAAGCTCTCTAAGGTTAAGAATCTGTTCTTTAGGTATCTCTTCACTGTCAGGGATTTTTGTTTGTTGTGTGTCTCAAGTTTTTACTTTCTCTACTGATTTAGTGTGGGTTATTAGTTTTCATTTGGCTCTGTCCTCCATGCATTAGCATAGAGCTTTGATGAAGTTATTTTCCAAGTGCCTCATATTATCATTACTCAAGAGACTGCATGTGGTTAAGGCACATATGGTATCCTCATTTCAGTAGTAGAATTAGCAACACTAATAATGCCAAGTGGACTTGAGAAATTAATAAACTTTGTTAACTAATGGTTTTGTATTTTAGACCATAGGAGCAAACACTATTTCTATATAACAAAGTTAATCATCAATCAGGAATTTTTATTTAAACTAGTTGCCCTTACCTCTGTCTGAACATCTCCCCCCTCATGCACCTGGATACTCCAGCGGACTAGTTCACCTAAGTTACCCTCTTCCACTTTCATGCCATGCAAATTCTCCCCTTAAGTATGGATCACAGTCTGGACCCCACAGGACCTAGCAGAAGGTCTTAGCTCTCTGTGTCCCACCACAGGCTTCACCACTCCTCCTGGATCCATGTTGCTGAATTCGGTCCTTTGTTCCTCTGTTTCTATGGCACTCGATCACCATATTTGGCCCATTGGTTCTACCTAGTATTACTGCTCAACACCTCCACAGTCAGCCCAAGGGCTTGTCAACCTCTACTGTTCCATACAGCTTCAAATGGCCCACTGCTACTGGCCACCTCTGGAAAAATCAACATCTTATTGAAAATTTTTGCGCATCAAAAGAAATCATAAACAGAGTGAAAATAAAAGCCATGATTTGAGAAAAATAAATAGCCAAATGCCCCTCAGACAAGTCTTCTATCTAGAAGATACAAAGAATTTATATATATCTATATCTATATCTATCTATCTATCTATCTATCTATCTATCTATCTATCTATATATCGGGAACACAAAATTCAAAGTCTCGGTCCACATGGTACATCTGAAATGAACACACATTTCTCATAGGAAACAACAAAAATAAAGTGAAAATTTATCTATTTTTATTTTATTTTATGTCTTGTATTTTAGAGAAGGGTCTACAGGGTGTTCAGGGTCTCACTACTAGATCAGACTCGTAGTGATCCACCTATTTATAGCATCCCAAGAGCCGGGATTACAGGCATGCACCACCACTCCCAGTCTCAATCACCATCTCAGCGTGCCCCGGGGATGGGGCCTGCACAGCAGTCCTGGGGATAGAACTCCCTGGCGCCTGAACCTGCTTGCAGGCACTTTAATCCGATGAGCTATTTGGCCACCCCAAAGTGTAAATTTATAAAAAATTGTTCAACAGCTCTCATTATTTAAGATGCAAGTCAAAATAACATTGAGAAGCCATCTCACTCCAGAAAGAATGGCTACCATGAAGAAATCCTCCAATAACAAATTTTGGCAGGGTTGTAGAGGAAAAGAACCCTTCTGCAATGTTGGTGGGAGTATAGACTTGAGCAACCTTGTAGAAATCAGTGTAAAGATTCCTCAATAGCCTAAGATTAGGGCCTCCAAGGTAGGTCAGTGGGCTGAGCACCTCCTTAGGCAAACACAGTGACCAGAGTTTAATACCTGCACCACATGCCACGCTGGCCCGGCCCCCAGGCACACCTATCCAGCCACTGAGACTGGACATGGTGATGCATGCTCATAATCCCAGTGCTGGGAAGGTTGAAAACAGGAGGTTACCTATGAGTTAGAGTTGCATAATGAGACCTTGTACCAATTACAAAAAACAAAGAAACAGACAACAACAACAAAAAGAAAACCCTGGGATTAAATGTCCTTTTTGACCCAGTTATTTCTTTTCTGGGCATTTTGACAGAATTTAAAACACCATACCAGTGAAATATGTGCACTCATGTTTATAGCATCACAATTTGCAATAGGTAGATATTGGAAACAATCCAAATGTCCACAGAATTAGGAATAGATTAAAAACATTGTGGTATTTTTATATAATGCAGTACTACTAAATAAAAAAAGTTTGAAACTTTTATATGGAAATGGACATAACTCTAAATCATACTCATTAATGAAGCAAACCAGACTTATATCAATAAATATTGTATTTTTGCCCTAGTGTAAGCAACTAAAAGAGTAAATATAATCTAAAGGGTATAAAACAGATATTCTGAAAGAGAAAAAACTGCTAAAAAAGTAAGAAAAATTTTGACTGGGGAAAAGGATAAACTATGGAAAGGTAAAAAAACAAAACAAAAATTATATATGTGTATCTATGTATATCTGTATATATACAGAAAATAGCTAATAGAAATCAGAAATCTGCTGATTTCTACTAGTTCATTGAGAGGAATAGTTAGTGCATATATTATTTGATCAATTTGGCATACATTTCATACATATCCAGCAACTATGTGAAGATAAAAATATACAATATAACATTTAATTTCTTAACATTTTGTTTTGAAATACTGCATTCATTCATAATATTAAAAGCTAAAATATAAAATTATAAAAATATTGTACTACTACACATATGAAAGCAATTTCTTGAAATAATATCTTTAAAATTCTCCACAGGTTAAAACTGGACACTAAAGTACATTTAAAAAATTTGAAATTTTACTGGATGGAACATGATGGAGGCTCATTATTAATGTCCAAGGTAGACCAAGATCTCATTCAGGCCCAGAAAAAGGTAATATTTTTATTATTTTTTATGTATTTAGCGTAGTCTACAGGAATTCACTACACAGATTCAACTAGTAGTGATTCTGCTGTTTTCAGCCTCAGAAACACTGGGATTACAGATGCACACCATCACACTCAGCCCCAGTCATCATCTCAGCATGCCCCTTGGTGGTGGCAGCATGGCATGTGGTTCCAGGGATCAAAGCTGGTACCTGCACTCTGCATAAGCAGGTGCTTTGGTCTGCTGAGCTATCTGGCCAGCCGTATAATTTTAAATAGGATGTGTTTAACAGAATTTACTTTTAGACAGAGTATATGTGCCATGTATTGAAAGAGAAATATTATATTTTAGGACACAGCAACTATACTTCATAACAATTAAAGTTATCAATTTTTGAACATTTATAAAATGATGTTAGTCTTGTCCTGATAGAATAAACATAGAAGAAGAAATGTTAGCTTCAATATGAGGCAGAAATATTTTCAAAATTTAACAATTTCTAATTTCATAGTTATTCCAACAATTTCCCTAAAGTACATAGCTTTGTTAGCCATATACTGTATTTAACTATTCTCATTAGTTTAATTGCTTCATATAACCATTTGAAGTTTAACCACATTCAGGTTAAAAAAACTTTTTGGAGTACTAGCTGATATTCATATATGAATATTTGTAAGGCTGAAATTAAATCAATTCAAGGTATTAAAGTATGATGAGATTATTTTATTGTTGATGTGCTTTATCCTTTATTTTCCAATGAGACATGATTTTTTAATCTATTTTGTAAAAAAGTAGATGATGGCCTTGTATGTTACTTGATTAGTCTTTCAATTATCATCCACTGTTCAAACACACATTTACCAATATAATTGGAAATCTAGCACAAAATTCATTAGTACTACCTGTTACATGCACAAAATATCCTGTCATAATTGAATTTGTGGGCCTATGTAAAACTATAAATATTTATATACAACACCTTCATGGGTATAAATTTTCTACTAAATTAGTTTATAACAAAAAGAGCAATA